TACTGTTAATTGGTGTTTACTGGATTACAATATCGACACGAACAAATATTTCAAAGTAAATTGCTAATAACCAATCCCTTAATCAAACAAATCCCTTATACAATATTGATTTTAACAACTGGCAAAATCTGTTGTATGAAATCACATGAATATTATACAATGATGGCAGATATATGTGCATGTCATTACTGCAGAAACATCACAAACAAGTAAACTTATCCCAGAAAGACTGTCACGAGTTCAGGCGACTGAATAATCCGTTAAATAAACGTGGACGCTAATCACAGAATTCATGAGCACGTCATTTGCTAAATTAGATCTTTATGTAACCCAACGTGTCAACTTGCTGATACGACGTAAACTAGTAACGTTTAATTTTGCCTCTAATTACCGCGCACAAATCGGGAGCGCATTTAAACGCGTCGCTAATCTTATGCACTTATGGCTATTTATTAATCTCACGGGAAGGATCGCTTCGAGACAAAAATTTCGAAAATTTTAGGCGAAAATTTTACTGATATGATTAATGTGATGATAAACATAAACATAATTAGAACATTAGCGAAGTTAACATATAACAAAAATTATAAAAAGTGCATATTAAGCAATAATCCAATTCATTTTCATACGTACTTTCATAATATAGGAATGTCTGAATTTTCAAGTCAACACAATGTTATCTATGCAGAAAAAGTCCATATTTCGTCGGCAAAGATTCCAAACATCGAACTTAGTATACACACACAGTATACAAATGATTATGTGCGTGTCGACATCACTTGAGAGCAATCACAGCTACCAAGCATAGCTCACACAGATGTGCGTCCATATATATTTTTATGTCATGTAATTTAATTTTTCGCTCTAATATACTAATGTCTGCGTATGTATCAAAGTACGTACTTGAGAATTTTATGGGCAAAATATTGACTTTATACTGCAAAATTTATATCGTATTGGCTATGCAGAATTATAAATGCTTTTGCATAGTAAAAGTACATACAAAAAATTAATTGAAGTATTGCGCAATATACATAGATGTTTTTTGCACGTATTAACGTATTGAATACTACTCGACGAATGAACGCAATTCATGATTTCCAGGAGAGTACTGACAACGACGGTCGAGTCGAGTCATAATGAGAAAATGTATACGGAATGGAACACAAAAGGAAGGATGAGATTTAAATCCTGGACGGTTAATCACCATCACGGACGGACAGAACAGAATGAGAGAATAGACAATCTAATTAGAGAATGAAGAAATTTTCTTTTTCGAGAGAGATTTGCTTTTGTGTGTGTGTGTTTTTTTTTATTATTATCTCACACGCTTGCTGCTTATCCAGTACAATTTATAAAAATATCATAACGTACCAAAACCGTAATGCGTAACCGTTGCTTCTTTCTCTATGCTTCTCTATATCTCATACAGACACGCTAATGCATTCCGTCTACTGGCAGTCAGAAGAGAACGACTCATTTTCCACGGGAGTTCGCGTCTTTTCTCTCTTGCCTCGGATCGAGTTTCGTGAAAGAAAAAAAGAACAGATGCATGATAGTTGCAACGAGGAACGTAGTACAGCTAAGTGAAGGTCTAGCATTTGTCTACTGCGCGATGTGCTCAGTGGAAGGTGTCGTTACACAAGAAGCGACCGGCTCGCGAGCGCTTTCCCGACGGAGCACACGATCGCCTATACGAGCGGAGAGTTATTATTTACAACGAGATGTACATGTCAGACGTTCGTTTCCGGCAAATTACAGCACGTTCGCCGGAGATTCTCGCGCGGATATTTCCTCCTTCCCGCCCCGATATCTTCCCACAAGAATGACCGAATTATAATCGCAATCACTATTACTACCACCAGCGGTACAGAGAGAGATCGAAACTACGAGAGAGGAAATGCCCATTGCATGTGATATTTCACGCCCAAGCATCGATCACGAGAACGACGCGTCTTTCCAGTTTTCTTTCTTCTAGTTTATATTCAAGCCTTTTTGCGTTGAAATCACGTCTCCCAGAGACGTTCTTCCCTTTTACGAGCCACAATAGTCCAGCACGTCCCAGGCACGTGATACAATGTAATGTATGTATGTATGTATTTATTTGTTTACGACCCATAAGCGTCATCTCAGACACATATGATCCAAACGCGGGAATCAATTAAATGACCCAACGCGAGTAATTAAATTTTTCATGCAGTGTGTGCTTTAAATTACCGGTACAACGCAATTCAAGCTACATTCGCGAGGACATATCTACCCTCTCCCTCGTCGTGTACACGCTGCGTCATATATGCCTTACCATTACAATCGGAATCCTTTGTACGATTTTCGTCCTTATGCGCATTGCGTGTAAGGCTGAAGATCGTGTAACTCTCGACCTAGGTAATGGTAAAGCGCACGTGACGCTGAGATTGTACTCAGCCTCAGTTTTTCTCTTTCTTTTTAAGCAGAACTCTCGTCTCAATTGATACAATGAACGAACTGACACACGTGCATCGCCACGCTTCTCATTCTAATTAACGACGTCTGATAGCAGTAAGAGACGCACACAACGTATGCTAACGAGCTGTCCCAAACACGCTATCATGCACTGAGAAAAAAATACTTCAAAATTTATTTTCGGGATATAAAGTTATAAAGATAAAGTTTATTTCTTCCAAATGAACTTTTATCCTCCAAATAAATTTTCAAATATTTCTTTCTTAGTGTGGAAGTGTCTTTTTATCTTTATTATGCCTCCCCCTTCTACCGTCCTCCTTCTGATTAATCCATCCCCTAAACAAGCGGAAGCGCAAAACTTGCTGGAATAACGAGAGTATCGATGTCGACGCAAAGTCATTCGGCGCACAATTTTCGCGGATGACGATATAAGCCAAAATAATCTAATCGACGCTCAGACGAACAGCGGGTCGACAATAAATAAAGGCGAATATATAAATATATATGTATATATACGTATATGTAACACCGTTGTTTCGTAGCGGGCATTTCGTAAATCGGCAGTACTCGAAAGTTCAAGAGACTTTTAATATAATTAATGATACAAAATTACTTCTTAATGATATAAAGTATTGGATGAAAGATCAGTAATTGAGAGTAATACGAAGTAAGCTATATCTCAACGAGAGTGTGTATGCACCAACCCTATCGGCGTGGGGGAATAATTAACACGAGAGCAGTGGAACAACGCGGCCAGACTAAACGCGGTGAGAGAAGAAAAATCCCGCTAAGAGAGATGTGCTAACTTATATTGCACGCGAATAAATTCGTGTTATACGTTGTAAATAACATAATAATAATATACGACATGTGATCTATAAAGATCAGATTAATCGATAAATTCCTCGTACATACAAGTATTACACATAATATCTCTCGACAACGTAAAAGAAACGATGTGTGAGCACACAAAATAGTGTGTATGTATGTGGTATATGTGAAGCGTCGATATGCGGCGAGAAGTTCACTGAGTGTCTCAAGCATTGCTCTGTATGTTTTTTTTTTCTTTCTTTTTTCAGGCACCCACGTGTGCACTTGCGCTTCCTTTACATACAAATCAGGTACTCGCTTTGAATTTGTTTCAATTGATCACGCAAAGCGCAACTTTTTCCGGACAATATATAGCAGAATATGTATATGTTTATATATATGTGTATATATATATATGTGTATATATATATATATATATATATATATATATATATATATATGTGTATGTATGTCGGCAGACGCGAGAATTCCGAGAAGGAAACACATAAATAATTAAATTAACATCAATCAAAAAAATATTCCGTTATTCTTACTTTTGTAAATCTTTCTTTAATAAAAAACGTAACAGCTAATGTTTTTTCTTTATAAACACTGAAAATGTAGATTACAACATAATATACTGATAACAATTCCATCTTCCAGTGAAGAGTAGCTATATTCTGTTGTACCAACATTTAAATTATCACTATTTAATTATGTGTAAGATATTGTACAAATTATTCCATACTTTTTGGACAGTGTGCTCGCGATATTATTATTATTATTAATATTAATATTATTAATATTACTATTATTATATTATTACATTACAGTTTGCAAAAATACCATTTTACTATGATAACAAAACCTGCACGCTTATTTTACATTGACGCTACAGTGTCCAAAAGTATAGGTCAAATATTACAATGCAGCCAGCATATACATAGTGACAACTTTATAATCACTAATGCACTCACACATGCTAATGCATTCACGCACCATATAACAATTTTTATTCATACATGGCCACAATGTCACCACAAAAGAGACTATAGAGACTAACTCGCGAAAAATGCTCGTCCACATTGCTACTCTCTTTTTCGCTCTTGCTCTCTTTCTCTCTCTCTTTCTTTCTTTCTCTCTCTATCTTTCACGCCCGCTCGCTTATTGATGCGATTTTGTGTTGAAAAATAAAGAACGATCTATTATATTACATTTAAAAAATGTTCAGTCATTTATTTAGGGAAGCTTAGTATCGACACGGTGGAAACGATCGTGTTTTAAACGCGGAATTCCGAGCCGCGTCCCTCTCCCCAATTCTCTCCTCCCTCCCCTCCCTCTTACTCACCCTCGAAATTAGGAGCCTTATCGTGAGATCTCCCAGACTTATAAAACACTGTACACTACTATGTAAGAAGATAATGTCACACGATGAATTTCATCGAGTCCCATCAAAACCAGCTTACACGAAACCATACAGGAAGGACGCCAGATATCGGGCGGGTCACTAAAGTTCCTGCCCTTCACAGGGCATCACTTCAAGTATGATTTATATAGTGTCGTGCTTCTACACGTTTCTTTTTCCTGTTCGAGCAGAAACATCAAATCCCTCATATTCACTCTCTTCAAACGCGGTCTTATCGGCATGTGTCTGTTCGGTCCGCTCTGCGACGTGTTCGCAGTGGTGCTTCCCGAACTATTGGTCGTGCCCACTATGTCGAGTTTAGGCTTCTTGCGAGGACCGATTGCTTGTAAGGCTGTTAAATTTGCTTCCCTTTGCCTCAGTTCTTCCATTTCCACACGTTGCATCTGAAATCATTTTGTTTTTATTATTGTTGTTAACACACATTCTAACCAACAAGAATTTTATTTATTTTCATTCTTATCTCTTGTAAAATTGAAAATTGCAATTACGTTCGTATAAACAAGAACGCATTTCATATGTGTGAATTCAGTGAACAGAAAAATACGGATACTCGCGTATTACCTCTTTGGCTTTCGCCTTCAGTTTGGCTTGCTCGGGATCTTCCGTTTTTGCGCGACTTTTTGCGGCACGTAAAAGCATCTCTCGTTCTTGATCCTCATGTCTTTTACGCTCAATCCTATCTAGTTCTTCCAGAAATTTTAGTTGCGCTTTTACGTCCTGCGATATCTCATATCTAGGGTCAACCTATAAAGCAAGCAATCGAATGAAACATACCACAAAATTGTAAAATGCTCATTCTTTTGCCAAAATAACTTTTATTAATAGCAATTTACGTGGTACTTGAATAGATGAAAACATAAAGATAGTACACTGAAAAGATTCGAGTTTTACCTTGATAAGATCTATCCTATGTTCGGCAATTAGTGCTAATTTTTCTACTAAATTCTTTAACCTCTCCTGAGCAGCGTGCGAGATTAACGCTGCCACTTCCTGACTGGGTTCTTCCAGTCCGTAGTTAGATGCTAAAACACACAGTTGAAACACACAGTTTTACATAGAGATTCCACTGAACAAATCTCAATTTATAGTAAACAAAAAGAATAGACAAATATAAATAGTGTCAGAAAAATTATCGAAATTTTACCGATTTGCTTAATTCTTTGCTGCAGCGGCGTAAGGTGCAAAAATACTTCATCTTTACAGGATCGTATCTGGGTACCAACAAATTCCGTAGAACCAAGTATTCTTTGAGATTCTTCCGCAAGATTGACACCACCCATAGCCGCTACATCGTTTATATCGTCGTCCGCCCTAGTGACAGAAGTGTGATTTTCATTACATCTTACGATAATCATACAGCGTGAAAAATCTCCTTAGAGACAATTGTTATATAATTTCTTCATTAATTTTGTTGGAATAAGAGATAAAGAAAACGTGGGACTTACGTATATCCTGCAGATGAAAATGACTTTTTCTCTTTCTCCTTTGCAGCTGGTTTTTGAACGAGAGAAGGCACTACGGCTTTATTAACAGTAGTGGTTGTATTGACTGTTTTGCCTTGCGTGGTAGTCGTGATCGTTTTCACGACTGTGGCCGTGATGGGTGGTTTCTGCACGACAGGGGCAGTGGGACGAATTCCGGCAACCGCCACCGTCGATTTTACAGCGTATGCTGCGGAAGGGCTACGAACCACCGTCGTTACCGGTCGAATCTAAGACGACAAGAAACGGTGAAACAATTAAAATAATAGTGCCGAATATTTCACGCATGTGTATTGGTAGTTGAATAAAATTTCAAGAATCTTACCAGCCTTTGTTGGACAGGTGGAGCAGGCCGTGGAACGGGTGTGGTAGCTGCTACTGCTGCTGTCGCTGCTACTGTTACCGGTGCTGGTGCTGGTGTTGGTGCTTGTACCGGTGCTGGTGCCACAGCTGAGGCGGCTGTTGGAAGCGGTGCCATTACTCTCACTTGAGTCGTCGCAGTCGCCGTCGCTGTTACAGGAACCGTGGCCGTCCCTGCTATCGCTGGTCTGAATTGATTTTGCTATAATACAAAGCGAGATTATTTCGTAGCTGATTCACCTTGCACGAAGATAGAATTTGTGGAAATGAGAGGGAGGAAAAGGGGAGAGAAAGAGGTGACCTTACCTGTGCGATAGTTGAAACTGCCGAAGCTATGGAAAAAACAACGCTAGCCGGTGGAGGTTTAATTCCATCTATCACCAATTCTTTCATAACAAGAGACTGTCGAAGAAGTGGCAGACTCTTTTTCAAAAATCCAATGAGACATGGCTGTGGTGAAGCGTTCAACAATTTCTCAAGCCTATCGCAGAACTCTTCCGGTTCGACTTTAGTGTCAATCAACTCTTGTATTAAAGTTCGGACATTGCGTTCTACTGATTTAGGCTCTCGACTAGACAACTCTAATAGGTTTGCTAAGAATTTACGGCACTTTTCTTTGGTATTTTCAGGGTTCGGACGCTGAAATAGAAAAAAAAATATGCCTTTATATAATCATATTATGATATATATGATAATATATGATGATATATGAAGAATAAAAATTGTTAATTCTCTATTTTAGAGAGTTTAATACAACTTATATAGAAATTCTTATATATGTATATACATACACATACACACGTTCGCGTCCTCGAACGCATATATACATTTACATATATATGTACATATATATGTACATACATACGTATAATTCTTAATCTATTATACTTATATATATATGTATATATTATATACATAAATATATTTCATATAACTTACTGTAGATGTAGATGTTTGAACCGTTTGAACAGTAGTAACAGCTTGTGCAGAAGTAGTTGTAGCTGCTGTGGTTACTGTTGCTGGGGTTGTAGTAGACGTAGTAATAGTAGCAGCAACCGTCTATAGTTTGAAGTGCAATAATTATTTATAACGTCATAATATATTGTGTATGACGTATATTAGTAGTTTATGTGAAGACGTAGATAATAATAGTTACATTAACGATTTATGACTTCAAAAAATATATATAAAGAAAAATTATTATAATCTTGTATATAAAAACATTTCCGTGCCTGTAAATACATATACATATAAAAAAAATGGCTGCATATATAAAAAAAAATCTGATACAACAAATTACAGAGTAAAATTTAATTTTAATAGGAGACAAATTTCTTATTCTCTCACATTATATTCAATTTGAAAAATTTAATTGTTGAAAAATACATATATTATGATACTTACTTTATATTTTTATAACAATGATAAATGTAAGATAAAGATAATATTTCTTTCCAATTGAAAAATTATATAAAATTACTGTATAATAAATTATTTTGTCTATTGCATGCAATTAAGGAGAATCTTTGCAAACTCTATATTACTACATCTCAGAAATCTAATTTTCCTACGTGCATGCTGAGAGAGAAACAGAAACAAGTGAAAACCCAATTAAAAAGTATTTACTTATTGACTACTATTGCCAAAATCAGCATAAGTTACTTGCATATTATAATTATTTAGTTCAATTACTTACATTGATCAAATGTCTAAAATACCTTAAACAACTCTTGAATTCAAATGATTGCAATAACAATCGACTTATTTGCTATAACATATTCTACAGACGCACTTGTACCTTGTACAGACTCGTCTTTTACAGTTTAGCATAATTGTAGATATTAATATAAAAATATCGTTTGAATAACGCGTGTCGTAATAGTCAACATTCATTGATCGTTTTATAGTAATAGTTTATAAGGTATTATATACAAAATTTAACCAATATTAGTGAAATTATATCCGATGCTTTAATAAATATAATTACAATGCTTATTTTTAAATTAAATTATAATATCACTGTCATTAAGGTAGAACAATAATATAGAATAATAATCGTGTAAAAGCATCATTTTGAAATGTTCTTAATATCACTGTTACTGTAATGTAGCAGTCAGAATATTTGTGAAAATTTTCTAATGTATTAGTAAAGAGATAAATTTTTTCAGCACAAATATACATAGGAAAAATATAAAGAAAGAAAAAACAATGAACGTAAACACCTTCCACTATGTGTTTCCTCTAAGTAATTTGTTTCTCAAAGCCAATATCCTACGAGATACCTTTAACCAGAAATTCATGCAATACTCAATAATCTGACGAAGGCATTGGATTTCACCTGCAAAATTATTGCACTCCATAAAACTCAAGACATACTACTAAAGAAATGCATCCCAAAAAATAAGCTAATAGTGAAAAATCGCCAATTATTCGTGAAAAGTTACGTCAATCGTGGCGTAAGAGAGACGCTCTGAAAACTGTAGCATTCATAATTAATATGTATTCGGAAGCTATATATATAAGTATGATCCTTCTACAAGTAGTGCTCACAAAAATGAAAACGCTCTAAGTATTTGCAAACAATCAATAAATGAGGAAGTCGATGATGAACATTCGCGTTCTGGAAGTGTATCCGCATCTCAATGAGTAAACGGATCGAAACGGAAAAGTGTGAATATAACACATCACCTTACTGATAACACCATTCCACAGAAAATAAGGTCAAACCAATGGAAATCTCTACAGTACTACATCGAGTCTTGTAAGAGGTATAAAAGTGCGTCACCTGAACAGATTTTCTTAGAGTGGCGAGTGGTGGGCCAGTGAACTGAGTATTCAGCCTACTTACAGCCGGCATTGAAGCTAGGCGATAGGTAGTGCCTGGAGATGGTGCAGCAACTACCGCATTTCCAGCTATGCTATTGGGTGTAACCGTAGTACCGGTGGGAGTACCAGCAGTCGGTGCTGGTCCCACCCTCAATAACTGAAACTGCCCATTCTCTGTTTTTAACAACAGATGACCCTGAGTTCCAGGTTGAAGGCCATGGAGTGCCTGTAACGTTATCTGAAAATCACAATATTTATTATTATCATTTCACCATTTATCCTTTGTTTCTAATTCTATATTATTGTAAAGAGTTTCAAAAGAAATTACATATATGTATAATTAGTAGGTATAGTTCTAAGAGTGTAATAAAGTAACAATAAAATCTGCATCTTCAGTAAAATTATTTAACGATTATAAGAAAACATTTTGGTACTGTTTAATTTCAGACAAATGCAGTGAAATCAGAAGCATCAAGTAAAATTACTTAATGCAGTTACAAGTATACTTTGGTATGCTACGTAATTCAAAACAAACCAAGTGAAGTCAGAAGTATAGTGAAATTTGAAGGATGCTCTATTATCCTGGACATTCAACACATATACACATACTGTGTAGAAAAACAAAATGTCACACTATTCTGTTTACAAATACAAAGTCAAGCACGGTCTTACCCCTGGAGCTCCTGATCTCGTTCCAACCATGGGTTGCCCTATCACCACTCTAGAAGTAACCTGCTTATTGGCTTGCTGCCCTGCCACTGGTGTGGTAGGCCTCATGGTATTCACATTGAGAATTTGAACATTGCTGGGCACTATTGTGGAAGTGACCCCAGCCTTGGCCTGTAACGCAGTGCTTACTGCGTTACCAGAAACTGGAACAGTCATGGGAACAGACACCATGCCGGCCGGTGCTACACTGGTTTTGATCACTAGAGCCGTGCCCGTCGGCTTATTCACACCAGTCACTGTTTGGCTGCCTGTCTGGCTAATAGAGCCCACATTGGACACAGCATTCGACGTGGTCTGCAGCACTGCCGATGAAGTAATACCCAGAGTACCGTTCGCTAACTGACCGACTGTTTGGGCGGGAAAGGTGAGCTTATTGTTCGCATTGGCTACCCCCGTGGTAGCGATCACTTGGCCTACGGCGGTGGGGTAGATGATCTTCACTGGCTCATGAGTTTTCGTCAGACTCGGTATATGAGTGGTCTGATTGCTAGACACTTGGTTCGTGGTTACTTGATTGATATACGCGGATATTCCTGGTGTTTGCGCGTGCTGCTGCTGCTGTGATTGCTGTTGCTGCTGTGATTGCTGCTGCTGTTGCTGCTGCGTGGTGATGACCTGTGGCGCCACTGCGTTCGAAGTAACCACGTTCACCGGCAGCAGAGTGCTGGTGGTGATGGACTTGGCGACTTCCTGAGTCATCAGGCTGTTCACCGTAGTGGCACCGCCACCGTTCGAAACCCCATGCTTCTGTGGCTGTACCGTGGTGATTGTGCCCCCGTTGGAAATAGCGCTGTTCACCTGATGATTCTGCTGGCTGACTGACGCGGAACTCGCCTGATGCCCGACCACAGTCGGCGTCGATGTCACCAGCTGCGTCTCAAGGGAGCCCACTATTGCGTTCACTGCAGATTCGTCGACATCAGTGCTAAGAGCTTCCTCCAGAAACTTAGCTGACGCCATTTTCTTTGAGCCTCCAACTGTAAACTGATTTGCGCATGCGCCTGTCGCAAATTGTTCCCATGGTGCATTGCCCCCCCTAGCGCAGCGGCAAATCGTACGCCGCGATGAGAATGTAATGTTTACCGTCCGGCGGTATGGACGCCGGTCACGCTTCCTCGCCGTCGCGTAGTATATATGATCCCACGCGCCTCTCCGCCCCGCGATTTACACGCGATTCGATTGTACCAAGTGCAATCGCGACACGCGTCGCGGCGGAACATGCGATCCGTCTCTCTCTCTCTCTTTTTCTTTGTCTCTCCTTACCCTTCTATCTCTCTCTCGACACGGGCGATTGTGTTATGGCTGTCGAGAGCAGCCACGCACAACACGTCACCCGCCAAAATGGCCATCTTCGAACATTCGTTCGACGCGTCGTTTATTTACATCGGTACTCGACGACAGGTCTTTGACATGGTACGATGAAAAAAAACATGATTCTGTTGTTAAAAAAGAAAGAAAAAGGAAAGATCCGATTTTGATAATCGAGTTTATTTACAAATGCTCAAAAAAAAGCGTATTCCGGAAGTCATTGCGATTGTTTACATCCTCTCGATTCGCAACTGATCAGCATCTACATAGTCATGACATTAGTAACACAGAGCCGTTTTATTGGTTACGTACTATCTTGAGATGACGGGCAGCCAGTGGAATGGCTCTTGAAACGTGAATTCTTAAGCACACACTCTTGCATAAAGGCATAATGCATAAGAAAATTGATCAGAGTTCTTCATTTTCATCGTGGCAATAGAAATGAGGATTCTAATTGGTCAATATTCTTATGCGTGTGCATTATGCATTATGCCTTTATGCAAGAGTGTGTGCTTCCCACTTTAAGGGCTATCGCACACAAATTGACATAACTGCATATGCATAGCATAAGATCGTATGGACCAATGAGCATCGAATATTAAGCATCGAACACCAATATGGCGACTTAATACTCGATGCTCATTGGTACATACGGTCTTATGCTATGCATATGCAGTTATGTCAATTTGTGTGCGATAGCCCTAAGAGTGCAACCATGGACGGGAAGCGTCCCGATTACCACTATACGATTGGACACAACCAACCGATGAAAAGAATTATCTAGTAAATTACTAGGTCGAACCAATCATTACAATCTGTGTCCAATCGTATCGTGGTCAATCGGGTCCCACCCCCCTGGGATGCGTTCAGATTCTTCATCCGGGTGCACTCTATTACTAGAAACACTATAGTATATGTTACATATACTATAGCACTTCTAGTAATAGAATACACCCGGGTGTGGAATCTGAACGCAGCCTTGGACGTATATATGGGTAGGACTCGATTGACCACGGTACGATTGGACACAGATTGTAATGATTGGTTCGACCTGGTAATTCACTAGATAATTCTTTGCATCGGTTGGTTGTGTCCAGTCATACCGTGGTCAATTGGGACGTTCTCATCCGAGTGCACTCTACTACTAGAAACACTATAGTATATGTTACGTATACTATAGCATTTCTAGTATTAGAGCGCACCCGGGTAGGGAATTTGAACGCACCCCATGGTGCAAACCTATGCAGAGGAATAGCGGAGCGCGGAACGAAAGTGGAACCAATCACGAGCGGAAGCAATCACAAATGAAAACTGTAGAACATTCGTGATTGGTTCCGCTCTCATTCCGCGCTCCGCTATTCCGCTGTATGGGTTTGCACCGTTAAAGCGGGGAGCACATACTTTTCTATAAAGACAATAGGTGCTTTCCAATTGCTTAACACATCTTGATATACACGTACACAGAACCAGTTTATTGGTTATATATTATCTAAAATATCTTGTAAGATAATATGCAACCAATAAACTGGTTTTGTGTAACACAGTGTACGCAACTGGAAAGCAACCAAAGGGTGCTAGCCGCTACCGCCACATATTTTCACTACATTTAGTCATAACATTCTTTTATTGAAAATGAGCAGAGCAAATAACGTCCAATATTATCTATTTTTTTGTTACGACATTTTTTAATGCAATAAGATGCTGGCATTTTTGGTTTTACGACAGTAATTTAATGGCTACGCTGACTCACATTGTACGATGTAAGTATTCACACAAATAACACGTTACACACACACAGCCGCCGCCATTTTCTTGCATGTAACCAGAAACCTTACGCGGCGCACGTTCGAAGCCTTTGTTAACAAACTAGTTTAATAGACATTTGTGTAATTCATGTCACTTATACTATAGATTTTTAGTAAACCTTGCCTAGAGCTTTAATTAATTTAATTAATAGATTAAGATCTTATCATGCAAGATATGGACAATATTGATAAACAAATTATTGAGGATCCTTCTTGTTAGTGTGGATGTAGATTACAGACAGCTCAACATATTTTCTTTTCATGTTCTCGATTTTTGGAGGAATCATCACAATTAATGATACAATTGGCAAAGAGGAATTTACCTATAGATATTCATGAAATTGCCTTCTCTGAGGATACAACCGCTATGGAATTGATTTACAAATTTATCAGGAAATGTAACATATTATTGTAAATTTACCTTGAGGATTCTTTTCATTTTAACTCTCTACACCAGGTGGCGTATGAATTTAAGCTGGTGACATTCACATAGGCTGGTATTCATAGTCAAATCTTATATTTAAGACCGTCTTAAGTTTATCTTCACATGATGAACGGATCATTTCATTGGCTATGGAGTATCTGAAAATGAACTTAAGCCAGCCTTAAAAATAAAATCCGACTATGAATACCGTCCATAGAAAAACATAAGCAATATGACGTAGCAGTAAGCAAATTGACCAATCACAGTCATTAATTCTTCTTACAGTCCAAGTATCAACGACTGTGATTGGTCAATTTGCTTACTGCTTACGCTTACTGCTTAAGTTTTTCTGTGTGCCACGGCCCTTATTTCCAAACCAGGAAACAGATAGATTTTTAGTACTGGCAATGGATATCGAAATATGTCCCATGAAAAATTACGATAGTCCCGCTATAACCGTCTACTTTCGTTGAGATTAGGTTAGGTTACTCGTATAAGGTAAACTGAAAAACGTTTCGAGGAATTCTCTTGATACTTTCACAATGACTACACCTCCGAACTCTGGATTATCTTTTGGGACACCAAAAACAACAGGTGCGATGTTTTTATGAGAAACAAACATGCAAAGTGCTTTTGTTTTTTTTATTTTGACAAGCATAATATATTTACGCATATAATAATACATGGAGCACTTTTCATTGTTTTTCTTGAAAATTACATATTTTCTATATATCAAGAAATTATACTGACATCTTTTGTATTGTTTCAAGAAGTCACTGGCTTGACATTCGGTACTCCTAGCACTATGACTTCTGGAACTGGCTTTGGTCTTGGTAGTAACACCATTGCAACGACCACATCTTTGTCTACACCATCAAATCTACCGAATTTTGCTCTTGCAAGCAATGTGACACCTACACCTGGAATAGCGGGACTTTCCTTTGATCCCACTAAATCATCTACAACTACAACAGTTGCCACAGGATTTCCTCTTGCAACAACTACAACAGGAGGCTTTAATTTTGGTGTTCCATCAGCAAAACCTCTAACAGGTATAGTTTTCTGGTGAAATAAAGAATTTTTATGATCTTGTAAGAGCTAATCTTAAAATATTGTATCGAAATAATTATAATTCAGACAATATCTTGAAACTGATTTTAATAAGTCAAGACTTTCAGTTATATTTTCTTAATTGTTTAAGCAAACTTGCAATAAATGTATTTTGTTCTTAATAGACCTAAATTGGTACTAATGTTAACGTATAATATGTTTACTAGGATCCACTGGTTTGACTTTTGGTACTCCAAATCCTATGGCTGCTGGAACTGGATTTGGTCTGGGCAGCACAACTACAACTACAACATCCATATCTACAGTGGTAACAGCCCCAAGCTTTAATCTCACCAGCAGTACAGCACCAAAACCTGCAACATCGGTACTTTCATTCGATGCCTCAAAAACTGGCACCACTACAGCTGCTTCCACAGGATTCTCTCTTGCACCAACTACAATTTGTGGAGGATTTAGTTTCATGGTTACCACTCCTGCGACTATTTCAACAGCCTTTCCTTTGAGCAAAACAACTTCTGCTGCTATTTCAACAAGTCTAACAGCGCCAGCCCCTCACACTTCTTTGGGAACCACAACTACGTGAGTGCTTTCTTATTTGTGTTCTGTTAAAGTTAAGCATTCAATAAGATACACATTGAATTTGTAACACATATTTGTGTTATATTGCAGTGTCAGTTCCGCAACTGGTATTCAACCAGCTGCAATTAATTTCTGTCAACTCGAAGAGTCAATTAACAAATGGACCTTAGAATTGGAGGAACAAGAGAAAGCCTTTGTGAATCAAGCGACGCAAGTGAACGTTTGGGACAAATTGCTGATAACAAATGGAGAAAAAATAGTGATATTAAATCAAGAGGTTGAAAGGGTGAAATTTGAGCAGCAGCAATTAGAGCATGAATTAGACTATGTTGTAAGTACTTGTTTGCAGCATATATATTTATTATACATGTGTAAAGTTATATTAAAGATTACATGTACAGTTTATTTGTAAAGTTTTTTTATTATAAAATTAATAAAATATAGAAATCTATTGAAATAATCCTTTTCACAGATTGGGCAGCAAAAGGAGCTACAAGAGTGCCTGGTACCATTAGAGAAAGAACTGGCGTCGCTCTCTGTCTCGGATCCCGACCGAGAATACACGTACCGCTTGTCGGAAAACCTTGACACGCAATTGAAGCGCATGTCGGAGGATCTGAAGGAAATAATAGAACACTTGAACGAAGCAAATCGCGCTCAGGACTCTAGTGACCCTATCGTCCAAATCGGCAAGATCTTGAACGCGCACATGAATAGTTTGCAATGGCTGGATCAACAGACGACTTTATTGAATCAGAAGATACAGCAGATCGACCAGATGCATCAGAACTTTAGGCAAGAGAGTGAACAGAATCTGCATCTAGCTTACAATTAGTCAGTCACGTTCGTCGTATCGTGTCCAGCGATGCGAACACGCACGGACTCGTGAGAATTGTTTTTCTTTTTCGAAATTAGCTTAGTCAATTTAATGAGGAGAGTGAATAGCGCGCAAATGAACACAAATGAAATAAACGTATATTTTACATTTCGGTAACATCACTATATGATTGAGCTTCCACCCAGCATGTTCAAGAAGCAATAGCTGGTTCAAAGTAATGCATCTTGACGTGATCTCCTACATCCATTGTCAATTTCACCATTTTCTCCCGCAATATATTACACTTGACACTGTCTGGATGAAGGATATCCCAACCCAGAAACATGGCGAGTTTCTTTACACTAACAGTCGCGGAAATTTCACTGTCCTCCTCCTCTTCTTGCTCTTCTTGTCTATTCACCCAAACTTGTAGTCCTTTGAAATGAGTTGTTACAGTAGCATGGTCCACTTCGACTCTTAGCATCAGTGTACCATGTTTGTTGGCGATCACTGTCAGCTTGGGACTCATACTCTTCATCCTCTCCACAATATGCTTCAGGTATTTGAGCTGTTGTATATCCAAAGATATCTGAAATAGAAAATTGATTGTACAGTTGCAGAATGGTTTAAATACATTGAAATTGGGAGCTCATCAAACTCAAAATTGAGAATTATTACTGACGAGCTTACACAATAATTAATATTAAATAATAATATATTAATATAGTTACTGTAATATAATTACTATGTAATATTTTAATAATAAATGATAATTATTTATAACTCTCAATTAGTTTGGTGGGATCCCAACTTGATCGTGTCTAATCAGTTTTGCAATCAAGTGTTAGGTAAATATCCTAATGACTGCATAAGAAAACACCAACAGTTTTATATCTTTATTAATAAATAATCAATGGGGTTACTAACAAAATTAATGTTTATGTAAAACAAGTTTACCAGTGGTAAAAATATAATAAGAAATGAAACAACCAATAAATATCAATTATAATTACAATGAAATATTAGATAATGCTGGTTCAACTGAACTGAAAAATATATCATGTCCTGATTATCGGATAATACAAACTCGATGATCGAGTGCTAAATATAGCAAATTGATATTAGGAAAATTCTTAGGTCTTCAAAATTTTAAAAACTTTCTTAGATATGTTCGATACAAATATATTATTGATGTTTCGATTATTGAAATATATTCAATTATTGGAACATTTACCTCACTTGATTGACAGTATTTGCAGAGCGCAATGTATCATATTTGTCAGTGCTTACATCAAACTGAGAGATGACTGGCATTTTGTGTTCCGGCCATTCCCTGCGCGGTATCAGCCTCACTGGCACATCGTGCACACATTGCCGCGACTCGATAGCTAAGGAAGACAGATCGATCTCGAATGTCAAACAAGGCTGTCGCTTGTTTGTCAATTTAATCTTCACGCTCTTGGCAGTTGCTTTCAGACTGTTTAAGCTTCTGGCAAACATCGATGCGTCGAATTCTAGATAGATCTCGTTCTCATCTTCGCACACGCCGATCATAATGTATTCAGTGAAGAAGTGTTCGTGAGAGAGCACCGCCCAGAGCACGGGCACTCTCTCATCGCCGACGTTGAAGCACAACTCCTCCGTTGTGAGTCGCAGGACGCAGTACTTCGCCATTCGGGATATAGTATTGACGATGGCTGAAACATCGCGCAGTTAACGAGAAAGATGCAGACGACGCAGGTGAAGAGGTAATAAATTACTTCAGTTATTTGTGAATATTTCGCGCGCGCGTGAGAATGAGTGCAAAAAGACGATGTCGATATCAATATTCGACGTATGACGTGAAGCAAGGTTAGAAATACTTTGTCAAATTCTGATCTTACTCGTGAAATCCCGCATAGCGCCCGCGTCCACCATTCTGCATCTGAACTTCATTCTCACTTAAATCGAGTACTTATCGTTGACATTTGTGTTATCACCAGTGCCGGCGAACATCACAACAATATAAAATTGGCGCGGGAAACATCCACGGCCGCGGATAGGCGGATGCTCGTGACTATTATGATCTGTTCTCAATAGGTGCACTAAGTTGCACTGCCTGCACTGTCTGCATTGTTACGAGTCTGCGCTTCGAATGTGAATGTGTCAGGTATATTGTTTGTTTATTTGTCGCATAATATTGGGAGCAAAATTACGTGCAGTTGAAGTTCACACCGAAAATTCAGTTTAATATGATCCCTATACGACTTTAAAATCGCCCGCCTTTCTTACCGACATCTCGATCGTAGTTCACCTTTTTCCACATAGATGTCAGCACCATTCATTTTCGTGCACATGAGGTATAGAAATAAGTACTTTGCAACATTAAAAATCTTTTATTTTAACAATATCTCGTTCGTATTGATCCTTTCGAGTACAACTGCTCAATAACTAATCGAACGCGGATCACAACTTCTACAAAGTCTCACACAAAACGTTATCGAGTTACCGACACACTCACGTAATATCTTTCACCGAGCTGATAAAAGCCTGGCAACTTTATACGCGATGCATTTCCGACGATTACCACAAAGTTCAAACATTCCAGAAGCTCTGCGACCTTGATTTAAAATTCACTGTCGGTAAGCTAGGAACCTATTCCACCGACCACACCTACGCGCGCGCGCACACACACGCGCCGTCGCGAGTCCTCCCTCTCTCTCTCTCTCCCGCGCGCCATCGCGAAGTTACCCTGAGTGGTTCGCAGTGCATCGCAGCGAGAAACGTGTACGTTCGTAACCCCGATCGACGTCAAGCACGTCGAGTGTGACGCGTGAGTCAACGGGCGAGGATCGATCGGCCGTGAGGAGCTCGCTACGGTGAAGTGAACGCGATTGACGAGCGACGAGTCGCATGACAACTCTGTCATTCGCGGCTGTGAGACAAAGCTCTCTCCTCCGTCGCTGCCGCCGCCGCTGTCGTCGCGATTCTCGGTGTCGCTTACGCGCGCGCGCGTTCGCGAACGACAACTTCGGGTCTCTGTTGTCTCGGAGGGTGAACCACGGCCATATTGTTTAAATCGCCGGCCTCGCGATCGAATCTCCGCGGAGTATCCCGCCATCCTCGACGAGCTGCGTGACGTCCAACGGCTGGTGTCCAGCACGAGTGTCTATCCCGGAACGATGCTGCACTGAGCAATATGTCTCGTGGGAAAAAGAGGTGAGTCTGATTGCATCTGTCTCTGTTTCTTTGTCGCCGTTACGTCGCACGCGTTATGTCGACCCGCGCGTTTTTCCGACCGCGCTGTTAGATTCGTCGGTCGGAAGGTTTCCCAGAGCCTGGAGCTCTCTGCCCCATATAGTTCGATTTCATGTGACGAAGGCAGAGGAGAAGGTTCGCGGGGAGCGCGGACGGTGAACCTATTTTCGACCGCGCTTCCGAGACGCGACAAGTGCGCGTTTCGGCGGGAGAAAAAGATGAAGCGAGATACAGCAGAAGAAATAGAGCTTGCGTGAGTTTGTCTCGTTCGATCGTTTGATCGTCAGGTCGAGTGAATTGGCGTTTCTCATAACTGGAGGCATCCCTCCCGCCTGGCCGAGAGATACCCCCAAAGCATCAAAGTTGGCAATCGCGCGAGCTTTGATGTTTTTTCTGTCCGCCGACGCGCTCAGCGCGCAACGTGAACTTTTCCGGCCGGTTGAGACTGAAAGATGTCTTCTGTAGTTAAATTAGGTTGCATCTTTGCTTTTAGAGCGAAACAAATATACACGAGCTAGCGTGGAAGGGAGAAAGAATGACACAGTACCGATGAAACGCTAAGGATCGGTTTGTCAATAATAATTTAAGCTCAGGTATCTTCCTTTTTCTAAGTTTCAAGTGAATTCTAACAATGTGTTTGATGCGTTGAACAGAGTTTAAACTTTAAAATCTAACTAAAAATCTAATTTAAATCTTTAAAATGTAACTTTGCATCTTTTAGAAGATCTAAGCTTAAATCTACTATTGAGAGATTGACTCTAGTTTAATCAGATAGAACGGAGACACGGAGACGCGCGTTCACGCGGATTTTTATATTTTCACGTTTCTTTTCGCGTGCATAAGTCGGCACGCCGGTTCTCTTTATCGTGGTTGCCATAATCGCCATTAGTCATGTTCTCATTATCGGCATCATGATGATTGTTGCGTGATGTAACACGCGCGCGAGTGACGGCAAACGACAATAACATGCCCGCGAGAGGTGAACTCGGTATGCTTCAGGGGACTTATTGTGTTGCTCGGCCTAGTGTCGATGTATTATCGCGCGTATATCGTTTGTCTCGAGACTTAAATAGACGTATTTCTTTGTCGCGCCATGATTGCCGCGTTGAGTCTCGCGAACGTCTCGCAGCGCATCACGCGGCACGCGTGTGACTCTCTTCACTGAAAGTAACTATTGTTTTTTTTTTTTCATTCGCGTAAGACAAGTGCAAATTTTCGAGTTTTTGTTTGGGAAGCGAAATTTTAAGCTCAAATATTAAAAGTCGTGTCAACATACGGATTAAAGCTAAATACATCCTAAGATACATTCAGCCGGAGAAAACAATCTTATTTTTTCATATCAAAACACTACCGTAATTTTCGATAAGATTGCACAAAAAATATATAAGAGTTAGTAGAAAAATAAATGTTATTATTTCAAAATAATATGAGAAAATGATATAATTGATATTCAATAGTTTATAATAAGTAATAGTGAATATATTATATTGATGTAGTATATATTATGTAATATAATAAATATCAAAATAACCAATGAATGTTAAAATTTTAAATAAAGCAGTGACGTTGTGCGTTGATACTTTATTTTCAATTATTTCGTGTGATTTTTTAAGTAACATTATTAAATTACAGGTTTTTTATTAGGTTTGCACTTGTCTCGAATTTGTTTACTATTGTTATTATTATAAAGTGCTATCTCTAAGTAAAAAGTTCCTGTAAGTTATCTCTCTTACTACTATAAAGTGTTATCTCTCTTTTTGCGCTGCAAACTCAAGTATGTCATTTTTAAACGCGTAAGCGTGTACGTTCGGGCTAAAGTTCCTTTTGCGCGTTTCTTGTGGTTTTAAATCACATCATTTAGCACACGTTTAAGAGACGTGTAAGTTTATTATTTAATACGTTTAAATGTGTCAAATGATGTGATTTAAAGCATTAAGAAACGTAAAAGGGGATTCAGTCAAAATAACACATTTGGATTTGCAGTGTGTCATCGTGTCGTTTCACAAACTGCGAATATCTGATCTTCACCGTTTGTTCTCTTGCCGACAACACGCCTTCTTGCAACGCTCGCAAGTTCGCATGAATCTCTTCTTTCTCATTCTTGTATCCGATAACCGAGAAAAGTATAGAATAACCCGCGACAGCGACGCGTTACGAAAGGGTCAACTTTCTCCTTTAGGGAGATATACGCCGTGAAAACATCCGGGAGGTCCGCATAGCGATATTTAAGAAATACGATCACGAGAGAGAGAGAATGAAAGAGTGGAAAGGAATGGGGTAAGGAGAGAAATGAATTTACAATTGCGTTCAAATAAAAATTGCAGTCGACATCGTGACTTCTCATGACTTCAGTTTCTCATTACTTAATATTACGCGATAAAAAATGTCTACGTTTAGATATTTCCAGAACAAGTTCTTTGAAATTCGACTTTTGAACGTCGTCCCTGGATCTTATCACGCTTTTTCGCTATCGCAAATATTCATTGAATTTACTAATTGTTTAGCATTCTATTCTTCTCTATTCTTCTGAAATTTACTCGAAAAAATTTAGAGAGAGCACGAAATCCATGTTAGATATTTGAAAATTAAATTTTGCGCGTTATAATTAGAATTAGACGACGAGAGCATAAGTTTCTCCATATCAGACTAAATATTTGGAAATTGAGATTTGTACAAATTACGATTAGATGAATGAATGAATTATTTATCATGCTACTTTTCGAGTGAAGTTTCATTCGAAGAAATTCAAAGAATACGATATCCTGCGATACTCCACCGAAGCTACTCGTCGGGAAGCGTCGCTACTTCATTTTCGCGACCAATCACGTGCAATTCGGGGGTGTGCTCACCGAAATAAAGCGGCTCTTCACTATCTCCCGCTCTATTCCCTGCTCTCCCTGCTCGTCCCACGAGTCCTCGAGAAAGAGAGAGGGGGGGAGAGAGAGAGAGAGAGAGAGAGAGAAGCCGTACTCTTCCACTTATCAATATTAACTTGCCCGTTGGGAGAGATAGGATGACGTCAAGCCGCGGGTCCCGGTGCCGCCCCGCATGGCAACTGCCATGCCATGCGATGCCATGCCAAGCCATTGCCATGGCGGGCTTTGGCCACGACAAACAGACGTCGTAGCACGTGTGCATCGTCTGGTCTCCTTGTATTTGCGAACAAGGCCGCGCACGCCCTTGCCCGTCCGCCACCCTGTCGCGCCCTCTTGCACCCTCCTGCACCCACCGCGTCTCATTATTTCTCCATCTCTCTCCTTCTTTCTACTTCTCTTCCCGGTTTCGCTCTCACTCGCTCATCTAGTAATAAGTCCCGCGTTCTATCCGTCATTAGCATAGCACGATGTGAAGATTGTACCCTTGACTCTCTTCCTCCCCTCCAGTTCTCTCTCTCTCTCTCTCTCTCTCTCTCTCTCTCTCTCTCTCTCTCTCCCTGCGCGTGTCGCAGTTTGTTTCGTTTCCTGTACGCGTTTGGGTTCAAGTGGGACAGTTCACGTGATCCTGTCACTTAAAGTGATCTTAATCAAGCGTATTTGTTTCATTCGCGCTAAGATAAAAGGCGCACACTCACTTGAAAGCCCTGAAAAATTTCCCGCAAAATTTCAATAAATATGTATCGATCTTCAAAGTCGCGTCAAACGTAGAAAGACACGTCAGATCGAGGCGAAAGATCAAAGGGACGTGTGCGGAAAAGGGTGAGGGTGGATAAATGGACTTCAGGACAATATTTCGAGGGTGAGGGGATGTCGAATCGAATTGGTCGCGACAACAGTTAACTGTCAAGTTCTATGCAGTTACGCGGAATTATGTAAAATCGCCGCGCCGACAAAGAGCGATAATTTTCGGCGAATATTCTCCCCGACCGCTGTGTATGTGTGTGTTTGAACACGATATCGAATATTCATTTGTTCATAGGACCGTCGCGCCACGTTCCATCCGGGATCATTTTTGCCCGAAAATGGCGCGTGGGCGGGTCGGGATATGAAACGTCCGCAATGAGGGCGGCGGGGGCGGCTCTTAACCGGAAATTCGTGCTAACACATATGCACACATGAGGTAAAAGTACCAATTTCCGAACACGTATCTCACACATCGGTGTTCTTTTTGTTTTTCTTTTTTTAAAGATGAATACTTAAACTTTCAGCGTAGATTACATGTACACAGCGTCTGACAATTCATGACACAAACGTTGTGTGCAAGTAGAACTTATGAAACTAAATATAAAATTCCACTACTATTTTGCAAATAATCATATAAAATTTTGACTTGTTAATTAAAGAAGATTAGTGGGTTAGATAAGACAGAAAAAATAATCCTCTACCACTTTGCAAACGACCACGTAGATCTTTGGTTAATTAAAGAAAATCGATGTACGATTGTGCATGATAATGCATCAATCTTTTTTAGTT